TGCTGTTGTCCTGTCGCCCTTCCCATTGCCTCTGCGAACTTGCCCACCAGAGCCAGATTGGCGCAGTTGCTGAGGCTTGATCCCTTGGGTAGGTTGATTAGAGATTGTCATTGCCTGATGTTCTCCTTCGCAGCTAGACGAGGGTTAGCATCCATTGGGGCTCCAGAGGCCGTCCTTGTCAACGCGTCCCTGTATGGGGAGCTGGCTGTGTTCCCTGCCTGTTGTGCCGCTTTTTCGACCACTGCTGCTAATTCCACTGTCTTTTCTTTCAACACCTCCGTCTTCTTCTCCAGCTCCTCCATAACCTTCTCTGTGAGCACCTCCGTGAACGTCTTCAAGTCGTTGGTCAACTCGTTGAGCTGAGCATTGGCGATATCCCTAATGTCTTCCGCCACTACCTCCAGTTCGACGTCTCTCAACAGAAAAGCGACCGCGCGTACTGCGTTAACCGCAGGGAGGGCAACGCCCGGCATGGCCGCGATCTGGAAGAGCGTCGTGGCGAGTGCACCCAAAGTGAGCAGTGCCCCCGCCGGAACCATGAGCAGCCTTCCCTCGAGGAAAGATCTCCCTTTCTCTGAGTCACCGATTTCGTGTTCGTCTTCATCTGTCTCCACCGCCCCGGTGGCTCTCGTCTTTCCTCGTTCCTGTACTTCTGTGTCGATTGGTCGAGTTTGTCGAGTGGTCGTCACTTTACCTTTTTGTGGCGGAGCCGCCTGACTTTTGGGCTTCTGCCCGGTCCCAGACATGCTCTAGCCTCTGAGGTTGTTATTAGCTGGTTTGGTAATAATATAAAAGTTTTTTGAAAGCTGTATGTAGGCCAGAATGCAAGGGGGGAGCACAATTTTAATTTAATATATCATGTTGATTTTTTTGACAAGGCCAATATGGCCAGACTAACCAACCAGGCGTGGGTAGTGTTGCCAGAGCTTGGCTCGGCTTGGCTGAGCCATGTGAGCCAAGCCAAAAGTAGCCAAGCAGAGCTGTTCTCACCACTTGGGCATCCCCAGCGGCTGCACCCCGCTTATGAGCCAGCTCCTTGATGGGATAGCTGGCTCAGCCACGGCTTGTATCCTATTTTGGAAGTAACAATACAAACAAAACCATAGCTTTGACAGTACAAGCCTTCTTACTCTGAAAATTGACCTCAATATGGACACTGATGTAGCTAATTATTCTGCCAACTTTGAAGGCTGTCGAGCAAGAGCTCACATGTACAGAGCTGATATGTTATATATGTGACTTTTTGGTTGTGACATGTGACAAACAAATGCTGTCACACATACAGGTAACCAGATCTCTCAAATTTTATGGCCAGAAAAAGTGACAAAGAGACATCAGGGTACTTGAGAGAGTGATGGTTATCCTTTGGATTACTTCCATTCATTTATTAAAGGTTTTTGACTGTAACTGCAACACTAAAGTAAAGGTTCCTTTTTTTGGTGATGAGCTGCTAGCTAGCCATGATTTGAGCCGCTGTGCCTGAACTGGAGCCATCATTTTGGCAGCTTAGCTCAGCTCCAAGCTCCCACACTGCCCGCTTTGGGCAAAGCTGAGCGGGAGCCAAGCTAAGCCAAGCTCTGGCAACACTAGGCATGGGAACAACCTTCCATATATAGGTAAATCTATAAATAGGTAATGTGTTTTGGGATGTCAGCAGCCATCTTATCCTTTGTTTGCTGCCCCTTCCTCTACTTTTCTTCATGCTCTTACATGGGTCACAAATCCAGTCATTGATATTAAGACCCACTGGCAGTCCAACCCATGAAAAGTGGTACTGCATAGTCAGTGGTCAGGCTGAAATGACACAAAAAGAAAATGACCTACCCACAATGTCTCACAGCCTTTTTGCCCACAGAT